TTGAAACCTGACTTTACCAAACCTGAATTAAAAGAAACCTTGATAGTATATCTGAAATGAATATTTTCGTTCATTGTCTTCAACGATACAATGTCGCTTTACCAACAAATACATGTCATATCAATGTAGTGGCACCTTAACGTATCCTTGGCGTAGCTCAATCACCTTCGACATAGTCCGTATTAAACCTTTGCTGTGCAAAGAACTTCGATTTTTATTTGCAAAGAAGACGATCGATAAAATGTTGAATGAACTTTCAAATTGTTTACATAGAAGAAACTTCGACAAAGTACAAAGCATTACGCGAGACCTTCTGACAAATAATCTTGTATCGTAGACACATATTAACAATCGTGACCAAAAGATAAAACGTTTATAATCCTTTTTAAGGTATGCGCCAGGGCAGGATTTAGCCATGGTCGTGTCAGGATTTTGTTTGTTTGTTTTTTCACGTCCTCGCAACAGCCAGGGTCATATACGGACAGGTGCCTAGGAAAATACCGCCTGAAACAGAAAACAAATAGAAAAGAAAGAAGACAGGTAAGATAGGAAACAGTAAACATTTCCAGTGTTTGTTGCGATTTCGCTCACGTCTCAATTTTGGTCTAGTACATGTCGTCTTCGTAGAAGAAGGAAAGGGGGTGCATAAAAGCCATTTATCATATAAAATGAAAAGTGTACGGGTATAATTCCAAGTAACAATGAATATAGCGTGTAACATATGAACCGTGCCCCGTGTAGACAAACAACAGATTTCTGCTATTAACTCTGCCGAATGGAATTTCGCCTAGGCTTTATATCTGAAGAATCGAGTTCAACTTCTAGTATATCTATTTTTAAAATGGAACACAGAAAAACAAACAATGGTATTTACAAATATTCGTCGTTCTCCGTGAACGAAGATTATAGATAATTTGTCAAGGTATTATGCCGCATGATCATTACATTTTCTGTGACGAATATGTAAGAATACCTATAAAGAGAGAGAGGCATGTGGCATTTAATCAATCATCTGTTTATACAGATATACGGGCTTAATCTTGTAGTACGCCTACATCGTTCTACAGACTATGTTATCAAATTAATTAGCAAAATAAACGATAGAGAAGAGGGCGGTTGTATCTCAGGAGTTTCCTTGTAAAGATCTGCTGTGAGCTGACGGCATTCTCAGATTTCCTAACGCCTTATATATCATCTCATTTAGTCAATTAACGCTACCAAATTCCAGTTTCGGAGCAATGCAATGTGCGCACTGCATACCTTACATCTCTATACTATATTATATTGCCGTGTGCAAAAACGAATCGAAACCAATCACAAATCCGCCAACGTATTATTCCCTACGACTGGCGTCAGGAGTAATAATTTTTGATTATAAAATAAACAAAAGTGCAATCTCCAAGTTACTATATATTAATTTTCCATTCTGTTATTGACAAGTAGGAATTTATTAAAAGTTTAAAACTGAGTTTGTTTAATTAATATACTGTTGCCCCTGTTGAAAAACGTACAAAGGTGGTTGTGTATGACTCTCTGTTGTAAATAAAATATATCATTAAACACGACAGTGCTTTCTCAAGAAATCAATACAAAGTCCCAGGCGAGCTACACAAATCTGTTCTCAAGGTGTATTGCAGTTTCAGACACTACCGTTTTATTTGTCTTCAGATAGTACTAACTTTAAACCTTCAAAAATGTATGATGTATTTTAGCATTTATGGTTAGTAAATCCTCTTTAATTTGTTTATATATTCAATAAATGTTTCCGTTCTAATATATGTGCCCCCATCTATATAGAATTTGATTCTTACAATGCATTTAACGTGCTGTTAAACTCCGGGTCTCAAATTAAATTGCGAGCGCTGACACACGCCTTTAATAAGAATCAAAGCGTCCGATTGATTCCAAATGTTTAGGAGATCACAGTATTGTGCGCTAATTATACAGGAGAGCGCGGTCGATGTATTGAGGAGAAAACGAGCGTTGAGAACATGTCACACATGTCAATGGGTTTCCATTCACACGTGCCTGACCCTTGCGATGTTTGACTTTGTCCCGCTGAAATAATTTAAATGTTGGACGTTATGCGTGCCCGTGTAGAAAACACATCAGTAATATTGGAGTGTATGATACAAGATGTTTGAATTGAACACGTGAATACTTTTTTGTAACACAGGACTCGGTTATTTGATGTTTTATTTTCCAAAAACAATAGTATTTTTTTTATGATTGGAATGCGAACATTTGAATTTCATGACACGTGCGTTTTTTTTCATCTTTATTAATTCTGAAAATATCGTTGATCCTTATTTTACCCTTATGTAGTTTGATATAAGTAGATTCAAAGAACGTCGTACTTAATACATATATATAGCTACTGAATAGCGGAGAGTTGTCTATTTAAGAGAAAACATTTTGCAGTTAAAAGGAAAGACTAGGTATGATGTATCACCTTGCATGGTGTCGTACAAGGCGAATTATACCCCTGACTGCTGTATTAGGGATTTATTTCTTTGTCTTCTACGAACAACATAGAAACAAAATTGATCTACTGTATTCAAACACTTGGGATTTCTATTTCTTTTTCTTTCCTCTCTACTCTCTCCTTCGGCGACTTCTCCAATCTAGTCACCCATCTTTATATGAACTTAAATTTGACGACAACGTTTATCCATAGAGAGGAAAGCATGGTATCGAAACTACAAGTTTCATTTATTCGGCGGAAATGTGTGCATACGTAACATTCACATTACAAGTACATATTGTACATGTATTTAATCTTGATTTCGCACAACCTGGCTGCAACGAATATATATGTACTACATTTTGATTGACTATAAATAGTTAAGATATGTTTTAATCCAGATTCGCATCAAACTAACCCAACCCGAAACCCGACAAAACCTACAACAAATTCGTTTACTTTTGATGTTTTTTTTGCATCTTTCAAACATTTCGTCCTTTTAGTTTACGCTAGACGTATTTGTTTTTGTGAACGTTTGCTTAATGTTTTTTTGTCCTAAATGACTTTAATTATCTTTGGGTTGTAAAACAATACAAAAACAAACAAACAAAACGTAGTTGAAATTCAGATAACGAAGCATTCTTTGATACTCACTTCCATGGACAAGACCGACGCCAGTTTGTCACATTCACAATACACATTACATGTGAGGCTATCGGATATACAGCGAGGCAAGAAAGTGCTCCGCCGAGACCTTCCTGTCATGCTCGGTGTGAAATAATGCCATTTTCAGTTAGCGGTATTGAAGTCGTGCTACAAGGTAACTGTCTGCAAGGATAAGATATATCCCTTCCATAGCTAGCATGGTTGCGTTTACTTGTATAAAATAAATGTACCGATAGACTTATGTACATAAACAGTTTTGCTTACATCTTGTAAACATATTCAATACTTTGAAAACTTAAACACATACGAATTGCAAATGTGTCAACATGTTTTTAAGTATATTGATAATATCCCCCCTTGTTGGGTAAAATAGAAATTATGAACGGTTGATTTCCTATCACCATTTATGCTATACTTCGTCATCGTCGATTAATCCTTGCCCTAAGTCATTTTAACGCTTGTAAGATTTGGTTTGGTTTGATATTGTTTAATTACCTATTAACAGCTAAGCCCATGTGTGTTGTGTAAACGTGCATGTATGTATGTGTGCTAGAGACGGGGTATGTTGGTGACGCTCGTAAGAAGATCGCGCTTTATTGCATAGTCCATATTCGGTATAGGTCATCCTTTGTCAACTATTTCATCAGTATATGCCTTAAGTGCTGGTTATCCCTGGTCAAAATGCCAAACAGTAATACATAAATATTTGGTCTAACTAATATAAACGTCTGTCGAAATATTGTGTTGTCAAATGTTTTTTATAAACAAGTCTAGCTAAACAAGATGTCTGTTCGGCAAAGAAAAGGACGATATTTTACTTTAACGTAACGACAGTCACGCATCAACTTCGCTTGTCAAATGTCGTCGTCGTTTAGTCTCGGTTTGGCAGAAGCTGCGTTGCTTCGAATCACAAGGGTCTACCTGGACAAGAACGGAAATGTATTATGTTCCTTATTTTTTTAACGATTTTCATCGATGGTGCTACAGGTTCTTGCACCAACAATAGTCCGTGAAAAATTGTAGACTGATTAGATTAGAAATAATTGATAAGAAAATGCTGTGATAGTATCTGTCAATATTTATTAAACAATAGGCAACGACATAGTCATGCCGAACTCCGCCGTGCTTTCCTCTGTCCATCTCCGTCCACAATGCACAATAACTATCAGGGAAGGATCAAGGATTTCACGTTATGACCACCAACCCCATGTCAATTTCTTTGGAAATACTCAGAAGCTGTATAAACAATATTGCCCTATTTAATTCATTTTTTTAGAAAGGGCGCCCCTGTTTGGATCTGCGTATGATAACTCAAAGTCCCGTCTTCCCTGTTGCCGAGTAATCATTTCACTTCTTATCCTAATGATTCAAAATTTGGACATGACTGTCTAGATGTCATTGCACTATTTCCTTTCTTGTAAGGTCCCGAAACATGGTGTCGGAGCCCTAAAGGATTACAGTACTACTGCCAAAAACTTGAGCTACGTGTTGGAAACTGTTTTTTCCGGCATGACAAAAGCTATGTTAAATCATTTCTGGAAATATAAACTATACATTGCAGGACTTTTATGAGAATAAAAATGAACTAAACAATATGTAAATCAACAAACAGTATTCTGAGTGTACAAATGCAGCGGTGCCAAACCGGGATTCGAACTCGGAACTTCAGGTTGGTATACAGTCGCCCCTAACCGATCGAACTGTCTGATAAACCGAAGTATCCTAGCCTACAGTTATTCCGAAACGGAAGCTAACAGGAGGTTACAGTATATAGGGAAAACTACAGATTGGTGGGACAGATATCTTTTAAGACCAGAAATATTGACCCGACTGGGTGGTATTATCTCTACACTTTCTTCGTTCTTTACAGGTCCGGAGATGTGGGGCCGGACTGGTCCCTATAAGATGTGTAGCAATGGTAAACAACAGTCCCCGATAGACATCCACCCAGATATGTTACTGTTTGACCCGAACCTCAAACATGTCAAGGTGGAGACGGTACCGGTAAGTTGAAGTATGAGAGGACTCACCACAAACGTTTAAAGGCAGCACTTTTATTCCATTTAATAATCAATTCAGTATTGATCCTATCAATATGATCAATCACAATCTTTTGTTAAAAATACTGTCTTCTTTAGACGTACCATAGCAAAGAAGATAATGAAACTCATTTTAGATATATGTCGTCTGGATCAATTCTGTTTCAAATTAAATTTTTAATATTCGAGGGGATTTTTTTAAAAAGATTCAAACGCCATTAAAAGGATTTTTCGAGATATTACTTTTTCTTAGGTAAAAACAACTAACACTGAGTCATCAAACGTACAATTGAAGAGATATAAAAATAAATGTTATTATAATTATACCATGGGACGAAATGTATATGCATTATTCGATGTCTACATCGTATAACTTAATAATATAACCGTCTGATTTTCAGGTCAATGGAAAACTCACAAACACCGGAAATGACATCACGTTAGTTCTGGACCCTGACTTTATCAACCACGTAAACGTCAGTCAAGGACCCCTGTCATATGTGTACCATGTAACGGCGTTAAAGTTTCATTACAGCAAAGTGGACATCAATGGATCGGAGCATCGAATAGCAGGACGCTCCTTCCCAGCAGAGGTAAGGGTTTTGTTACAATCGAAAAAATTAGTAAAATGGTAATAATTATTTCTTCCAACCTTAACAGAATTGACTTTCGTTTCCGCAGTTGGTAATTTTGGCGAGGAATGCAATAGGTTATGTCCCCAGGCCAAGACATGCCATGTCCTTATAAATGGTAGTTGTTTACCCTGTTTAACGTTCAGCATTACGGCAACAACTGGTTTACACGTTGTCAGCATAATGTGACCGGATGGAATACTGTGCTAAGTGATTTCAGCATGAAATTCAGTGAGACCTCTATCGTCGTTTTGTTTGTGCATTATATTGATGGTAGAATGTGTTTATACATAGGAATAAAATTGTGCCTTGTTATAGAGTGTTCAAGTGACATGAATTCTAAAATGCATTTGGAAATTGTGGGAAATATCCATTCTATGAGCAGAAAAAATACATAAGCTTTTCTAAGTATATCTGTCGCAATGGTACAATTAACCTTTTTCTGTCGCTGCTTGCAACGACTTTAATATCTCTTCGAAAGTATTAGCTATTGTCTAAAGGAAACTATTAATGACCGATAAATGTTTTACTTCAGACTTTCAAGGACTGTTCACACTCAAAATAGCATGAACGTCTGAATCATACACTAAAAACCCAAACATGGTTGATCATTGCTTTGGATGTTCATGAAAACTTTCGTCGCTGACCTTATACATTGTAAGTGTCGTATTCATAGATACCGGAGGGAAACAATATCAGTACAGCAACCAGTCTTGGATCAAATAAATATTTGCTATATGTCGCGGGATAAGTACGTTTCGAAATGAATAAGAATGGTATTGCTGTCTTTTGTTATTTCGTTACATAAGATGTTTTTTCTCAGGAGAGTTTATTTAGTAAGTGCTGGCGTCAAGTTGTTACGTTTACTAGTAAATGAAGAAAGCAAGGTTGATTCCATAGAGGAACATTTGGCGCTGTTTTTAGACATAAATCAGAGAGAACAAAGTACCGGTCAAGACTAAAACCTCTAACCTGATACCCCGTAGTGTGTAAGGACGTCATTGTACTCCATGGGGGTATCTCATCTTGAATACTATTCCGACGATCTATGATTTAGTTTCGAGATTATGTGAGCGAAATTGTTATGCAAAACCAGTAAATAAAACAATGTCGACAGAAGTGGAACAGTTATTTTTCGTATTATTAGGAAAATTGCCTCAAAAAGTCAAAATTGCATATTATGCTGGGCTCCCGGAATTTTGGAATACCATGTAATGAAAAGGCAGATCGGACCGCAAACGGCTTTATTGCTACTAGCAGTTGATTATGAAAGTTATTTTACAGATCAGTTTTGTAAGGTTAAAATTGCAATTTCGTTTGGTTAAATGTCACTTCTTTTAACATGTCTAATCGAACTTCCATCGGCCCTTATGCCTTCTACTGTTGATAGACCCTCATAAACCTCTCATTATGCCTTCATACAATTTAGTTTATCAAAAAAAGTTCTGACCTTGACCATACCACTCACTCCCGTCACAGAATATCACTGCTTAACGTTCAGCATTCAGGGGAATGATAACAACTGGTTCACCCGTTGTCAGTATAATGTGTCTGGGCGGAACAATGTGCTTGGTGCCTTCGGCATTTCAGTGCGATAGCACTATAAAGTCGGCATCAGATCCGCGCTATCACGTGAAGGCAACCACATAAACATACACTGTCTCCTGCATACACACACGCAAGCGCGCATACACTACACACATGGAGGCACGTCCTTAAATGATTATACATGTAGGACGTTAAAAATAAAACCAAACCGAACCAACTAATGTTATCCTTGGAAACGGGACGACTAATGATGCATCCTGTAAAATCAGTAATTTGAGTTACCAGAGTATTCATCTCATTTTGGCTTTAATGTTGAACGTTCGCCCAGGAAGGCAATGCGTTGTTTCCCCGAGCCGGCAAATACCAAAGTCCTTAAAATGACAGTACCTCTTCCCTGTTTAAGGTTCAGATTATAAGGGTAATGAAAACAACTGGTTTACCCGTTGTCAGTATAATGTGCTGGGTGCCTTCAGCACGGTATTTTAGTGAGATAGCTGGCATCAGATCTGCGCTATCACATGGAAGCGAATACACCAACATACCCTGTCTCCTGCACGAAGACACACACGCACGGACGCATACACAACACGCATGGGGAAATTCCTTTAATGACCCTTCCTTTTGATGTGACGTTAAAAAAAAACACAAAAAAACTTAGAGTATATCATAGAAAAAGAGAGGTTCCGCTCCCTTTTCAACATTCTGAAGATTTGACTCGCCTACATGCTCTTTTCAGTGGTGTCTCACGAGGATCGTGTCGTCATACAACCATTGCTGTTCCTGTAACGTTGATTAAACACAAAATTGTGACCTTGACCAATATGTTACATTATTACAGCACGTGATAAAGTGTCGGAGGCTGATAAGATAATTACGTATGTGATCTTAAGTGAAACTGTCTGGTCCTGTCAATAATACAGAGCACAGTCTCTTGCTTATTATCTCCGTTAGGGGCAATTTCGTCACAAAGAACATAATGGCCGATACAGCTATAAGTACAGTAATCTATGATATATTTAAGTCTCCTGGTGTTGTCACAGAAAACACTTTAATACCAAGATGCCATCAATACAAGCGAGAGTTCGGTAAACACGGTACGGTAGGAGGCACGGTAGTCTAGTGGTAGGACGCCGGGCTCGTGACCGTAGGGTTGCGGGTTCGAGTCACGGCACGGAACTGTGTTGTATCTTTGAGTAAGATACTTTAACTCTCTTGTTCCAGTCTACTCAACTGTAAATGAGTACGTGGTTGGGCAGTGCTAGAATTGTAGAATGCTAGCTGTGTGCGCCGAAATGACAGCACTGGCTGTATGCTTCCCCGGGAGATGAGAAAGATATTGGCTGGTTGCAAAGGCCCTATAATCACGAATAATAATTTGTGAACCGCTTTGAGACGAGCAACGATCTAGGTTGTGATAAAGCGGTATATAAGAACCTCGAATTATTATTATTATTATTAGTATTAGTATTCTTTAAAAGTATGTTTTAATGAGAGTAAAGCTGCTTTACCTATTAGACAGATATTTAGACTTACGTAAACAAATAAACGGAACGGTTTTTTTAAACCGGAATCAAATTCTATTTGTTTTGGGTAATCATTAACACAGTTTTACAAAATAATAAAGCAAATTATAAAACAGTCAAACGTAGCAAATATAGATAACTTTAACAAATATTGTTATTAAATGGGGGGAAACAAAGTTACAAAATGTATTAATCTAACAATCTACTACAGTCAAATATCATAATGTTGCGCGTTACCTCATAAAAAATGCAAAGGTTATCGTTTCGTCCACCCACATCATTATATTAATTGTTTAAAAAACACATGGGGCCTTTTTTATCATGTCAAAAATATTGTCGAAAGCGGGAAAAGATATTTAATCTTAATTTCAGATTAGCTATAGTTTTGTCTGTAACTGCTCTTACTCATATACTTAGATTATTAACCTACATGTAAATATCTGTTCTTCAGGCCCTAGAAACAGAAATTTGAACACATTACACTTTGTAAAACCTGAAATCGGTGAGTGGTTTTCTAACTATAGAGAAAGCCGCTGAGATGAGGCTGTCCCTGCCCGTATCCATAGTTACTCATTCTTGTTCATTGAAGCGAGAAAAGTAATCTCAATGAATCGCATGTACCGAGCCATTTACAGTAAATTATTTGTTGTTTGTTTGCACGGACCTTCAGACAAGACAAGAAAACAGCTGTAATAATTTTAACCAGTCTTATATTACTGTTCTAAACCGTTAATATATCCAACATTCTAAACTATGTGAAAACCGTTTACCTGGTCCAAAAGATATAACCAATCATAGCCACAAACAAAATTACACTATACAAGCAAGAATAAAAAGAAGGCGTGCACATCTTAACTAGAAAAAACAAGTGTCACAAAATATAGAATATTATAGTCAGATACTTTAGAAAACAGGTCCTAATTACAGTGGCAAATAATACTCACAAACGGATTTAAGCAAAGCAAAAATACAGTAACACATGGGTAATAAATGAAATATGAAATATAGGCGCTAAGGGTAGAACAAAATTAACAAATATGTATAAATGACATTATCTACACTGACGTATTGATAAACACTTGATCAGTATGTTATTATCAAAGTGATACATCTTTCCAGATATCGACTCACCATTTTTCCACAAAGCAATTATTGTTCTGATATTGTACAGGCTTATGTTCCTAACACAATGCATACGTGACATGCACTGTTTGTCCTGTTTTATTGTGCTAGTTTGTAAGACACCCTTCTACAATGTATCGCAAGGGTCTAGCTCTACACACTACAACAGTGGTTAGGACAGATCTCACGACACAAATAAATAGAATTGCGAAGATGAAGGAGGAAAGAATTCTTTTGGTTTTTTAATTTCGGATACTGTTACAATGTATTTACAATTTATCACTTGCATTGAAGGAAAATCGAACGAGGATGTTCAACATTTAGCAATCGTGTCTGAAGCGTAACCTACGCTACTGTAACACTAACGCCGCCTAGCGGACAATCCAAGTAGCCCTATATAGCAAAATCAATAATCTCAAAAATTGGCGTGAATTTCCTTTTCACTACATGAGTTATAAGTGTTGTTCGTATATGTATACACGCGCTGAATCAATTAACGAGACTTTCGTGATGCATCCTAGTTTGAATATCCGCTTTTGTTTTGATTAATTGAAAAATGATAAGAAAGTGTCATGATGATAGTTTTCGAAAAATTAACGTCCAAATATGTACAAAACCAATGCCAGAATGTATTTATAATAATATTTCAAAGTATATTAGGCTTCAACTACATTTCAGCTAATCCCTTAAACATATTCAGATTTATTTTACGTACAAAATGTACATATGTTTGTTCATAAATAAATGCAACAAAAGTGTTTTAAACAC